CTCAGAAAAGGGTTTTTCTGCCTTTCAATGAGGGAATCAGCATTTCTTTTACAGTGTACATGGAAGTGGTGGCATCTTTTCCCTCAAGAGCTGGTGTAGCTGGCATTAGGAGCTGGATTATTTGCAGGCAAAGTTCCATCATGCTGTTTCCAGGATCTGTAATGCTGGTAAGAGCGAGAAATGGGGAACAGGTTTTCCTGCCTTCTGTTCTTAATTCTGCCACAGCATCCCCTGGCCAAGTCACCTCCCTGTGGTTTTTTTTTTTAATGTGCTAAATTAGGATAACAATTTATCTTTTGATTGTCATTTGTTGTTAAGGTCAGGGGAAGACTTGCCCTGAGGCGAGTGCTCCTGGAGAAAGGGCTGGTGGTGAGCTGGGATCTCAGCTCTGCATCTCACAGGCATGTCACAGGCAAGTGATGGGGACAGTGCAGACAGCAGTGCTCAACAGCTCTTTCTGCTGGCCCAGGGACCAGTCCCACTGCTGGTACAGCTTTTGGGGCAAGGAGGAGGCATTATTAACTGCTGACCAGGAGTGGTAGGAACGCACTCCAAGCAGCCTGTGGTCAGTGCCAGCAGAGCATGAGCCTTTTTAAGCCTCTCAGGGCAGAGCAGCTCCAGCTCTGACCAGCCTTTCAGTACTTGGTTTTTAACACATTTAAACCCAGCATCTCCACTGTGTTGACCTACACTCCTGGGATGGGTTCAAGAGGGATTGAAGCAACACTAGGAACAAGACCCCATAACCCTCAGCAGGCTTCCAGGTGGTCTGATGTGCATTTTCCAGACAGAGGATATAACTGCACAGCTGCAGCTCTGTCCCCATGTTACCCTACAGGGAAAGCCAGGCGTGTTGGCATCCCACAGGGAGATGCATTGCTTGATGCAGAGACCCAGATCCAAACACCCTGAAAGCCTGGAGCTGTTTGGACACACCAGCTGAGGGTCCAAGACCATATCTAAGCACTGGTGGCCAGAAGTTTTACCTCTTCCCTCTGAATCATCCAGGTTTGTGCAAGCTGGTGGCCTCTTCTACCCAACATTATTTCCCAAACAGAATCCAGCTAACTAGGAGAGGCAGAGACAGCGCCTACAATTTCTTGGAGTGAAGAAACAGCATGTTACTGGAGTGTCCCAAGCCTTTGCTTCCTCAGTCTCTGCAGGTCTGGCACATGGAGAGCCCAGAGGCACTGAAGTATCCCACTCAAGCAGCCAAGTGTTAACAACCTCTCCAAAGTCTAATTTGCCTTTGATATAGACTTAATTGTTTGCGTCACCCACTGGGCTGGGGGAGGGCTATAAAAGGGGCTGCAGCCATTGTCTGAGGCAGAAGAGAGCCCAGGAGCAGCTCCCTCTCCCAGTCTTCCTCGTTCAGCACCAGTCCCAGCCTGTGCATCATGCAGCTGGTGGCCAGCCTGGTGTCCGTGCTGCTGCTGGTGTGGAGTGTGAGAGCCACGGCACTGCCTGGGGAAGAGAGACTGGCCATCCAGAGCACCAGGGTGAGTAAAACCCACCCTGGGCAGGAGCTGGGTGAGGACAGAGCCAGGGGAGGGGGGATAAGGGCAGTCAGGCTTTACCTGGTGCAAAAAACTCTCCCACCCCTCTATATTCCAAGGCACTACAGCTTCACATGCTGCTGACCCTGGGGCTGTTCCTGCAGCTCTACCCAGCTGATTTAGAAAGGTACCAGATGCCAGGGGCTGCAGAAGTGAAGTCTGAGCTAAGCAAAAACTGGCAAAATGAACAGCAGAGAGCAGAGGGAAAAGGAGAAAATATTACTGAAATGGTACAGCATGAGAGAATAAAGCAGAGTACTAGGGAGGGAGAGAAAAGATACATAATTGGTAAAATGATCAAGGGAGATGATATTTTAAATAGGACTCATGGGAAGGACAAATGTTTAAAAGATGGGTTCAGTAGGAAAGTAACAGAGGAATCATAAATGAAGTAATTATATCAGAATAAAATTGCTTTTTCCAGAGTAGTATTCACAAGGGGAGTTATACTGACATAGTTCTGCTAGAATAATTACACTCTGAACCAGCACAGCTCTATGCAGTGGCAGAACTTATTATAGCAGTATAATTACCCTACCAACTGGCAAAACCCTAATATTATAATGGCTAGAGCACTATAATAACTTTATTTTGCCATGCTGTTTCCCTAAGAGGCCAAAGGGGTAGGAAGCAATAGCATAACATGATTACAAGCCCTGTTTTCTTGCCCTCTCCCCGCAGTTCTCTCACCTGCATGTTCCCTGCCATCCCTGATGTTCTTCTGAGCTCTGGTTAGTCATCAGTCCAGTTCAGGCTGTATCCATAAGGCTGCTGTTATTCCAGAGAAGGGAAGGATCCCAGTGTTGGTTTCACAGGCACCAACTTCTCCTTTGTGCGTGTCCACATCGTTTTTTCTGTCTTAGTGTTGGCTCCAGCTCATCCATCAGTGTCTCGCTGCTCCAGGAGTGGGCTCACATCCCATTAACAACAGAACTGGCTGCAAGAAAGAACCGTGCACAGTGTGAGGTGCTGGGGCTGGAGTTCTGTCAGATCAGGGCTCCTGCAGCTGCCTGGGATTAACCCTTCTGGGGATAACTGGAAACTTTCAGCTCCGCATTCTTATAGTAACGAACCCAGCACTTAAAAAGTAAACTCTTTTTTTAAGAAGTAAATTCTGGTGCAAATCCCAGCTGCTGGGGAAAAAAAGAAACAAATTGTAGGGAATAAATTGATAAATAAGGCTTTGGTAAAAATTAATTTGAGTGTAATGACTCTTAGTCTTCTGCGCACTGTTGCTTACAAAATAATGATACAATTAAAGAGAATCATTATATCTATTATAGAGCATTCTACAAACTGAAAAACTGTTAGATACTGATGAACCAATCCCTGCAGTCACCACTGCTGTAACTCAGACAGATGTTTTAAGTAAGAAAAGGATCGGGATTTTACATATAAGCCCCTATAAAATGCATTACAATGCAAAAGGAAGATGTGTTCCCTCTGATGCACTGATGGATGGAGCACAGGGAATGGAGCAGCTCCCCAAAGGTTTGCCCCAACCCACCGTGCTGAGATGTCAAACTGCTCCCAGAGAGTGTGGATCTCTTTGAGCTCAGCTCCAGGCAGAAAGGATGTGAGCAGTGGATTAGTGCAGGGAAGAGCTGCCAGGTTTCACCGACAGCCACAGCTGATCAGGCAGAAGGAATATCCCCTAACACAGGCTGAGCTTTGCCTTCCCCACCCCTCAGTCTGAGGCCGCTGGCTCTGCTCGGTTATTTCCAAACACAGCACTTACTACTAGGAAAGAAGCTTCCAAGGAAGACATGACCCAGGAGATACACTTAGGGGGTTCCCCCGTCCCAGTCTATCTCCCAAAGGCTCAAGGCACTTCTGTACTTGCAGCACAGGAGGAGGAATCAGAATGAGCACAAACTGGCTTTACCTTCTCTTCTGCCACAAATACAGCATGGAGTTTTTCTGTGCCTCGGTTCCCCTTGTGCAGAAGCAAGGCTTGTTACTAGAGCTAAGAAAGTGATTAAAAAATGCCCATAAACCTTCTGTAATGTAAACTCAGGATAATTGCTGCTGCCTGTATTTATCCATCTTTTGAGTTGCTCACCAAGTGGTCCTTAGTGAATGCTGGTGCTGACAGAGACAGCAGTCCCAGCAGTAAATATGGCATTTGTGAGGACTGACATGGAAATGTGCTTCCAAGATTCCCATCCGCATGGGAGACAGGATCTGTTCCTGTCAAACCATCTATCCCAGCTTGGCCAGTACCAGCTGTCCCTGCTAAGGAGCCACAGAGACCAGAAATTCTCAGGCACGAGAAAATTCCTCAGATTTTCTGGATGTAAAGTTGAGAGAAACACAACAACTCAAAGTTTGTACTGGCAGAAATCCCTCAAACCCCAAAACACAGGCTCTGCTACAGCAAAGGGATGGAGCTCAGCAGCTCCCATTTCATCCCACCTTCCCCCAGGGTCAGGCTATGGAAACACAGGTTCTTGTTCTAGAAATACAGCTGCCTGCCTCCACTGATGCAATATTTTGCTGCAGATTTTGGGGCATCCTTCTCCTTGTTGCATTTCATTTTACAGTGGAGTACATCCCCCGTGAGCTTAATTTAATATTGCTCAGGACTCTGTGCCTCTTCCCAGGACCCTGTGCCTTTTCCCTGACCTTCCCAAGGTGGATGCCAGGCAGTCAGAGCAGTGAAGGGTACACGGGCTGACCAGGGGAAGAGGCAGCTTGGCATTCACTGAAATTTAATTAGTGCGGGCAGCGAGGGACTTCACAGCCAATTCAAGCCTATTTGTTAGCAGCTCTTTTCCAGCTGTAACATGGCACATGTGAGGGTCCAGCTGGCTGAGCTGGACAGGGAGGGGAGACAGGAGCAGTGCCCTCAACAGCCACATATTCCTCAGCTCTGGCACAGCTCTGCTGATGGGAAAAGCATCAGCTCTGAGGGCAGGACACCAGGGATGGCAGGGGGACATGAAGGGACCTCGATGGCTGTGGGGGACAGGCCCTCTGTGTGTCACTTTCCCTGCTCTCTGCCCACAGGAACAGAGCACAGTGCGGAAGGATGCCATCCTGAAGATGCTGGCAGGCCTGCTGGATGGCGTGGATATGGGGCATGAGGCTGCTGCCCCGGACCTGGAGGAGGAGGGCAAGCTGGAGGAGGAGCGGGCGGTGCTGGGAAGGCTCGCCCAGCTCTCGCAGAGGGAGCGCAAGGCGCCCTGCAAGAACTTCTTCTGGAAAACCTTCACCTCCTGCTAGTGCTGCCCAGCCTGGCTCTGCCAGTCTGCGAACACCCTCCCCACTCCTTGTCTTCCTTGTCTCCCCCAGCTCCCTTGCTGTGCCCTCCACCCCTCAGAATAAAGCATGGCGCCTCGGGGACTGTCTGTGCCTCTGTGTGGGGCGGCCATGGGGGGTGGCGGCCATTTTGTGGGGTGGCTGTGGGGGGCAGCGGCCATTTTGTGGGTCAGCCATGTGGGCGGTTCGTGGGTGGCCATTTTGGGAAGGGGCTTCAGAGCTGTGAGGACAGAGGAGCCTCTCAGCGGGAGCAGGGTCACAGCCATCGATAAAGCTGTTGCAGCTGCCCCTCAGCCTCTGAGGGACCAGGTGAGTGTGCGGTGAGGTGCTGGGCAGCCACGGCTGTTCCCCGTGGGGAGGTTCCTCAGTGCCAACCCTGGTCAGGATAAGGTGCCATGCCATGATGGAGAGAGACTGGTTTGGTCCCACTGTAGCTCCCTGTGCTCCTTCCCATGCTGTCTGTGACTGGGGATGGCTGGGTGAAGCACCCAGACAGTGCTGTGCAGGTGTGGGGTGCAGGGGCAGTGCCTGGGGGTGCTGTGGAGGGGGAGACATGCCCAGAGCCTGGCCCAGTTCTGGTTTGCCAGAGCAGTTCCTGGGGTGCTTTCAGGCTGAAATAATGAAATCAAGGGGCTGCGATCCCAGGTCAAACAGCTCTGACTCTGCTCTGGTTCTCTTAAGGTTTCTCCGTGTCTTCTCATCTTGCTTAAAAACAATCAAAAACCACCTGGGTTCTCTTTCTTACCTTCTTGGGTGCTATTTAGCAGGGCCTGTAGTTTTATTCCTTTGGGCTTGCTGAGGAGCTTCTTGAACCTTATTTTTAGAACTGACAGGTAGTGGAGAGCGGTGGACAGTAGGCATGTTTGAGTTCACAGGTATTTCCCTCTATAGAAGACTGCTGAGTCCTTGATCTCATATGCTGGCAAAAAAAAAAAAAAGGTATGAAATTCAGTTGCCCTGTCTGCTTTAATCCTTAGTATTAACAAGTTGAATTTCAGAGATCTCTTATATTGCTGGCAATGGCCACACAAAATAATAGACTTAAGCGTTACTGAGCCCGTCCCCAAGACCTGATGAGAACTCAAGGTAGATCTTTGTAATGCCTTCCTTTTGAGCCTTTACATTTTGTTTGAGGACGCCGGTGACCACGAGGTCGCTCATCTCAACAGCAGCGTTTTGGATTAATCAGCAGCCAGCCTGTTTTCTGACAGCTGAGGTAACGCTGCCCCTCTCTCCCAGTAATGAGTGATACCACACCAGCACCTCCACGGGCTGGCTGCTGCCACTCTCCTCACACTGCATTTGCACTGTGTCGTTTGCCACAGAAATTTCTGGCCGTGTTGTCTCTGGCTTGCAGGAGGAGTTAGAGTCCTGTGGCTTGTTTTATTTTTCACTCCATAATGAAAAATAAGATCCTTGCTGGGGGAACTCGGTGACTCGGTATATGGGTAATGGGATATGGAGCTTCCCAGCTGTGTTGCCTGAAGCACCCAGCTAGGATGGAGGAGACCTGGTTCTGTGCCTCATGTTACTGCTGGCATTTACATTTCATCATAACCTCCCTTTCAATACCTCAGTTTCCCTGTCCTTAAAATGAGGTGAAAGCTCTCTACATCTACGTATCTTAGGAAAAATTATAAAAAGAGGCAAGTGCTCTGTAAGAGCTAATTATAACCATTACTATTACTAAGACCTGTGTAGCAGTATGTGACCAACCGGGATGCAAACACCTTAGAAGTGTTCTCATAGGAATTGCCTTATTATCCACCATTAAAACTGGTCTGTGATCAGAATGCTCCAGACAACGTGTAGCGAAAACGAGAAACCCCAGAGCACATGGACACAGGGATTGCCCCTGGCAGAGCCTGCCTGTTCAGGAAGCCGTGTGCTGTGTTATTTAGTGGTTCCTGGAGGAGAGAGGAGTCTGGCTGCTCTCAAGGCTGGAAGTAAATTTGGAAGTTGAGGTGCTCTTTCATCCCCGCAGATGGTTCCTGCTAAGGCAGGCTGAGGCGCTGGCTGAGCACCAAGGGGAAGTGTGAGTCGCCAGCGCACGTGCTGTGGACAGGGGCCAGCACAGCTCCTTCCTTTCATCAGCTGAAATCAGTGTTTGACTTGGATTGGACAGGGCAGTTTCTCTGGTAAGTCCACGTGCTCAGGCTGAAGCAATGTGAGGTCCTGCCCAATTACTTGTGTTAGGGAGTGTGGCGGGAGAAATCAGCTTCGCTGGGAGGAGCTTAATAAATATGTGTCATATCTGGCCATTTTCTGTTTGCATTTTCACAAACAAATTGTGAGCCTTCTAAGGGCATATGTCAAGTAGACGGCAGTGAGAGCAGGCTATTTCTCTTATAGATGCGGTAGCTGATGTACTTTAAAGTCTTGTCACAGCTCAGAATAATGTGTGTCTGTATGAGCAAGTGAAAAAGACACATTAAAAAGTAAAAAAGATGTCAGAAGGCAAACTTTTAAAGTCAGCTAGCACACACAGTGCTGACCTCACCTAATCCAACTAGTCCAGTGGTATTCACTGTATTTATTTTTTTTTTAATGTTTTTAACCTCGAGGTAGCTCATCCTTACACATCGACTGCACACAAGTGAATAAATTATCATGGGGACAAGTTCAGCTGTGAACCTACAGCATATTCAGTACCCAGTGGTGACTCTGTGGCTGCATATCCTATTCCTTGGTATATGTGAAATAGTCCAAGTAGCTTATACCTTGGTGAGAACAGAGTAAATCTCATTTGCTCAGAGATCAAAGCACATGCATATGTGGACAGATATGTGGATGACAGAGGAACTAGGAAGGTGTTTATTTGAAATTTAGTACCCTCCATGGTGACTTGTTTGTACGTGCTTTTATGGTGAAGATCTCGCTTTAATACACCGTGTGCGTTTTCAGCTTCAGACGAAGGAGAGGGTTGCAATCTGACCAGACTTACAAAGATCCTGTCAGTCTGCAGGTAGCCACAAATGGAGTTAAATTTAGTGGGAGCTGCCTGTCTGGTGGTCCTGTGCCTGTCAGTCTCAAGCAACGCGTGGCCTGCGAGGCACCTTTGGCATTGATTACAGCTACAGAAAATTGAAGTTAAACCTGGTACTGCAGGGAGAATGAGGCATAAGGCTGCACAGGGTGTCTTTTGTCTTATGTTGTTATTATATTTGGCTCTGCTCAGAAACACTGAACGTGTGTTTGAAAAGCAGTCAGCCCATTTATTTAAAAGAAAATCTGTTTCTGAGGTCGATGGCATATGAGCAGTTAGATGCAAACTGGGGAAGAGTAACTGAGTTTGCACTAAAGGGGAATTTTTTTTCCAGTGTAGAGGGAATTCTGCTCTTGCTCTTGGTCATAGATTAATGTAGTGGCTCACAGAATGTGTTCCTATGGGATGCTTGTTTTTGACAACATCCATCTGAGAAGCTGGTGGTTTAGATAACAACGAACTTTACAACATTCCTGTGACACAGAAGTGCTACTTTTATTTATCTTTCCTGGTGGTTTGGTCTGGGAGATTTGCCTTATGTCTTGATCTTGGTGATCTAAGAGACATTGCTTTGTATCTTGTTTTAACTATGATGCCACATTTACCCCTGCCCATGGCTCTGCTGACCTTCCTTCCACGTGGGATTTTGTTGAGTGGAAGAATAACACAGGTGGTCAAATAAGGCATTTGTTCCCTCCTTGTTACTCTCTGTAAATAGTTAGTTCAGTGACCTTGTTCTCTGAGCTCTGAAAGCCTCTCTTACCTGTGAAGTGGGCTTTGAAAATTTCTCTGAGCTCCTGCTTTCACAAAGCCCTCAGCAGCAGCAGGCTGTAAATGCCTTTTATATTCCATGAAAACTGCTCGGTGAAAGTTTCTGTTACCTTGACCATTCATTCGCGCCGTAGCTTCATGTAAGAATGTGCAACACAGGAAATCCTGAGTACAAGTGACTTGGTGAGCTGGGAGGATGTCTGGCAGAGTGGATTTTTCCTGTCTTTGCTGAACCCTGAAGGAACTTGCAGGGATTTGAGAGGAAGATTCCAGGGATTGAGGAGGAGTTGCTGGAGCACTGCAGTTTTTGTAGGCTAGGTCAGAAGGACAGGCAGGGTGTTATGTGTTGTGCTTTTTGGTGACACTGTGGTGTAAAGGTCTGTGTGCTGTGAGATGGGAAATCGGAAGGTGCTCTCTACTGCATCAACAAGGATTTAAGAGATGTAGCTTTTCCTCAGGGATTCAGAAGGAATTATGGTCAGAGTTACGACTAAGGCAGTAGATGAAGTGCAGGGAGGTAAAAATCAGTTATCCAGAGACACACAGCAAACTGGGACCTGTCAGCATGGGGAGAACCTTCAGGATAAAGATTCTTGCAGAGCATTACTGCAGAATATCTATTGTGGGTAAAGTTGCTTTTTATTCCATAATAATCTCTCAGCCTTTAGAACAGGGAATATTTGAGAGTCAGGGGACCTGTGTCATGTAAGTGAGACAGGAGCTAATGGAGAACAGCTCACTGCTGTTGATCAGCTGCTGTGAGTAAGCCCTTGCAGAAGCCTGGGAATACAAGCAGAGGCTGTAGGAGCTGCCAGCCTGTATCCCAGAGCCTGAGGAACAGCTGTACCCATGCAAAGGGAGAGCAGGAGCTACCTGTGCTGAGCCTGGGAGCCTTCTTGTAACAGGCATGTCTGATCCATGTGTTCCCCTTTGCTGAGTCCAGCACCTCTGGAGCTGACTGAGCTCTCACTTTCAGATTTGTATTTCATTTTGCAGACAGGGGAGGGAGGTGCCAGATGAAAAAAAGCCAGCATTTCAGTCCCTTAAGACAGGAGCTTTGGAGAGAAAAGCCAGCATTTCAGCCCCTTAAGATAGGAGCTTTGGAGAGAGCTGTTTGAATCCAGATTCAAACCTTCCAGCATGTCTGCTTCCCACTTGTTAACATTATGTAGGGCTCATAGAAAGTCTCAGAGGAAGCATCTGGGAGGTGAAGGAAACGTGAACGATTCAAATCCATGTCTTCCACCTCCCCAGAGAGTGTCTCAGCCCTGAGTGGTTGGCTGGGCTGGATGAGGCTTGTTGTCTAGAAGGACAGAGTGCACAGGGGAATAAGCTGTGCCAGAGGAGAGAGCATACTGTTTCCCTGGGCTCAGGGCATTCAGCTGGGAATGAGGAATTTCTGTTCTAGCAGTACCTTTGGGACCTGGAGGACTCTTGTTTTAAACCAATTAACGTTTAGTGTAAAACAAAAAATAAATTACAAGCAATCTTTACAGCTGGGACCTTGTTGAATTTGGCTTGAGGTCAGACCTACTTCCTATTGTAAGGCTGCTGGTTAGGAAACTCTACTGTTAAAAATGTCTTCAGTTTTACTAGGCTGTGCTTGGCTGGTGTGTTTTAGTCTCTTCTTGACAGCCATTGAAGAAGCCAATGATTTATGGCTGTGGAAAGCTGCCCACTCCTGGCTTGCACATTCCGGAAATTGTCCAGGAGATGTTTGGTCCCTCAGATGATGGTTTTAGAGTCCATCACTTAAGGCACATTTGGTCACTGTTGGATAGAGGGGAGAGTCTTCAGATCTGGTTGTTTTCAGTGTGACTTTGTTTATGTATTTGAACAAGAGCAGATTATCCAGCTAGCACTGGGTATATTGGTCTGCATTAGTTAATGAACCGGACATGGGCAGCAGCTTAATTAGTAGAGAAAGGAAGAGTATTTCTATATAATAGAGAAAGGGAGACATAACATTTTACACAGAGCTTTTAATTCTTCCAGTCAGGACAAGGCTCTGTGCAGGGAGCCTCTTGCTCAGAGTGAAACCCAGAGGTCAGGATATGTCTCCATGGAAGCCTTTTCTTTGCTCCTGAGAGCTCTGTCCCTGGCCACGTGCTGCCAATCCAGTCAGTCCAATCAGTCCCATGGTGAGAGGTGCCCTGCCAGGAGCTGAGGTGCAGGTGTACACACAGGGAGCTGCAGCTGCCTAAAAAGCTGGATTTACACTTTAGGAGCCCAGAGCTGTGGGGAGCAAACAGCAGGCCTTGTGCTCTGAAATGCTGGCTCACAAAGAGTGCTCATCTTCGTCCCTGAACTGATGAATTTACCCACTGCTGGGAGCCAGTGGGCTGGAAAGTGCCTTTTGATTGCTCTTCCTAAAGGATAACTGAACCCTGTCCAGTGCTGGAAGGCAGCTGGTCATTCCATGGGACAGAGAGGGCTAGAAGCAGAACAACGGAGAAGAAATGCCACTGGTGGCTTTTTGCTCCATTCCAGAATAAAAATGGGAAGCAAGCAGGAGGGTAGGGACCACAGTCCAGGAAGTCTCTCTCTTGGGGCACAAGATGTGGCTATGTCCCAGTTCTGCCCCTGGTTCTGGGTGTGTGCCCCTCTGAGCAGTCATAGCCCCCAGCAATGCTCAGGGTGATGTGCCAGGCACAGCCCCTCGTTGTCAGCTCCAGTGTCAGCTGTGGGATCTGGGCAGGCACAGAGACAGGTTAATATGTTCCCTGTTCTGTAAGCCCTGCTCTGACAGCTGGTCAGCTCTGGCTGCAGGGCTTCACAGCCTCTGAATGGCAGCCCATAAATCAGAGCTGGCACTGAAAGGAGGAATTGTAATGAGGGCTGAGAGACTCAAGGAGAATTGTTTTCCTGAGTCCCATCCCATTTTCACACATACACATACAGACACTTGCCCTGTCCCTCAGAAACACTTAACTAGGCTTCACCTCTCTGGGAAGATGGACTGCCTGGTAAATGAGATGTCATGGGCAAACGCTGCCCTTGCATTAAGGGGATTATTTCCAAATTATTTGAAGAGGCTTAGCACGAGGGCAGAAACCATAAATAACAAGGAACACTTCGGAAAGTTGAAGGCGGCTTCATGAGCCCTTGAACTTCCCAGGGCAGAGATGAAGAATGGAGAGTCCTACTGGAAAGTGACCCCTGATTCCGTGCACATTGCACAGTACCCTCAGTCATGTGTTCTCACATGTGGCTGTGGAGGCTTCTGCTGTGTCTGCACAAGGCTCTCATAATAATAAAGCAGTTGTTTAATTTATTATTATTATCTGTGTTGTAAGAGGCAGTGCAGTCCTTCAGCTGAGGCTGGTTCAGCAGCCTGTCAGACCTTCTTTTAACAGATCTGCCCCAAAAAATGCTGCTTCTCATGCTACAGATCTTTCAGTATGAGCAGAAGAGGTGAGATGGGAGAGGAGGAAAGTGAGAACATGTCAAGACCATCAGCAGAACAGGGCACTGGTGTGTAGACTTGCAGATCCAGCTAAACTGAAAGTTGGCATCCTTGAATTCCTCACCTGTCTGAAGATTGCAGTGTATTAGGGGGGAATATTACAGTGATACAAGAATAAAAAGCTCACAGTCTTTGGAGACTTTCTTAAATGAAAATATGTTTCAAAGCGAAAAACCATTTGGTCCATCTGTGTCCCATTACCGAGCTGGGGCCATCATCCATTTTCATTAGCCAGGGCCTGAGCATGGGGGTGGGGACAGAGGCCCAGGCAGCTGCCCTGGACACCAGGCTAAGATGCACCATATGGAAAAGCCTAATGTATGTTAACAGGCATCAGAGCCCAAAATTGAAAGAGTAATGGCTCATCCACACACAGGAGCCTCAGCGAAAGAAACTCAGCACCAATCTGTCAGCTGCAATTCTGGGTCATTACAGGGCTGCTGAGCACAGGCCAACAGACAAGTTGGAGTAATCTGACTTCAGCAAGAGCAATTCCCCCAGCTGTGTGAGCACTCTGGCTCAGTTCCCTCCTTGCTAACATACATCAAACAAAGCATCTTCCTTTCCTCGGAGATTCTTCCCACTGGGCCTCGGGGGATTCCAGCCAAACATTTAAATTACATGTGATGATCTTTTAATTTGCTGGCTCTGTATTGCTCTTACCACGTCAGATGAACACATGCCATAGCAAGGCTGTTTCCCTTTTGCCTGCCCCACACAGGTGTATCGAAATATCTTCACTTTGACCCCCCCAGAGTTTCTTCCTTTAGTTTTAACTGTTAGCTAAGGGGGCTCAGATCTTAGCTGAGGGCGTTGCCATGCAGGCTGGAACGGGGTTAGATCCATTTTGTATCCTTGTACAAAATTAACTCTGCATGTAGCCAAATCATTTTGTTTGCCTTTCCAGTGGAGCTGAGCGTTGCTGGGGCAAAGTAAGATCCTGAAGCTGATGGCTGGTGGAAGTCACTGGCAGTTACTATGGCTGGGTCAATTTAGGACATACTTTCATAGACTCTGTGCCTAATTTTAAATTAGAGGGCTACATGAATATGCCAAGTCTCCCTTTGCTTGCCAGCAGGCCCAGTGCCTCCAGGGCACGTCAGCAGTTTCCAGTAGGCTTTTTCTGCACACAGCTTTGAGGCTCAACAAGTGGTGGACCTGCTGGTAGTAAATACAAACAGGTGGCAATGTGTCCAACAGGTGTGAAAGAGTCACATTTGTAATCACCTGTGTGCAAGCAGTCAGGTAACTCCTTAATCCAGGCAGTATTTGAGTGCCAACACCTGAGCATTGGGTTTTGTGCAGCCAGGTTATAGCTCTGCCTATCTCTGAATTGCAGATTTTTCTGAGTCAGAATACAGTGCTGTGTTGGCACGAGCTCACCTCTCCTTTGTGAGGCTTCTGCTTAATTGGGTTTTGTTGAAAACTCTATTTAAAAGCTCTTGTTTTCTTTTTGCAGATTCCCTCTATTGTTCAAGCTTTAGTCATGAACTTCTGGCGAAGCTTTGGCACTGTGGATTTCATAATGCTGAAAAGTGAGGAGAAGGAAGCCAGGTAAGTGTCTCACTCATTTAAAAGACAGAATTAAATTTCTCTGTGAAACAATAGCACTCTCACCTCAAATCCAGGTGCTTGACATGGCCCAAAACAAAGGGACACAGGATCAAATGGTGTTTTGGAGGTTATGGCTTTATGAAGATTTCTGTGAGGGAAGCAAAGTCAACCAGAGAAGCTGAGGAGTAAAATGTTCATTCAGGGTACCACTCTTGCCCTGCATTTTGATAGGCTTGGGGTTTTGTTTTTCCCCTCTAGGGCGAGAAACAAGAGCTTCAGGGTGGAATTTTGTGGAAAATGAGCTTACATCTTGACTGAAAGACAGTGGTTTGGTTTGAACACTTCCAGTTCTTTTCTGCAAGAATAGATTTGACATTTCTGCTTTAAAAATAAGATTGACAAAGCCAGTCTTTGTTACTTCTAGAAAACCTCAAGAAGGTACCTAGTACCTAGAAGGTATCCCTAATTTCTCCTCCAAAGAGAGAACAGTCAGAGATCCCAGACTTCTTTGAAGGGGGAGCAATTTGAAGTAGTTGAGAAAAGCAATTTTTTTTTCTTTGAAGTGGTCAGCAAAAGTTTGGCTCAGCTGGTTGCTTGGTAGGTTTGTTTCTTACTCCTGGAGTGCTACAGGCATTTTAATATCCAGGTTCTGATTGATGGGACTGTTGGCTCTAACACGCCTTCAATCTATTTTCTCCAAGGCAGGAATGAGGTTGTGTGTATTCAGTGAGGGATTTAGCCAGAGGGAAGATTTGTCCATTCCAGTGTATCACACCAACTCTTTAATGTCTGAGCAGTAGCTCTTATTTTGGGAATGCTTTGGGCTGGCTTTACTGTTTGTCTAGATTAGCGAGGTAATAGCCTATTTGTTACAAAAAAATTCAGGTTATGGACAATTGCAGAGAAGCCTGTTGCAAGTGGGTTTAATGAATTTGCCAGTCCTGGTGCTGTTCAAGCCTATTTTTCAGCACATTTCTCAGCTTCTCCCTCGTCCTGAGCAGAGAGGGAGCCTCAGGAATTTACTGTCTCCTGCAGTCTCAGCAAGTTGTCCATTTGGGAGGAGAGTACAGTTCTTCATGGTGTTAATTAATGCACATACATGTAGAGGAAGAGCAGTCGCGAAAGAAGGAGCAAATGGAAGGGAGGTGGAAATAGAGACAAGCAGCCAAGCTCTGACTTCCAAAGGCAGACCTTGTGCTCTCAGCTGAGAGCACCTTGTGTGCTGTGGTTTGGGGTGGAAGATGAGGTCCAGGTTCTCCTTTTTTGAAAACCCAGGGTTTCGTCCCGATGTAGTGGTGGTTGCTGTGCTCTGCAAGGTCTGGTTCTGCAGACAGGGAAAGGTTTAAGCCTTGTTTAACAGAGGATATAAGAGTGGAGGATTACATGGGAACTCCAGCAGGAGATGGATATGGTTCTGCCAAACTTGCTTTGCAGTTCTGAACTGACAGTGAATGGGTTTGGAGAGAAGCTACTGTTCAAGTGGATCCTCTTGCTGGAAACTGTGCTGGAGGGAATGCACGTGCTAAGAACTGTTTCCAAGCTGGCAAGTGACTTTCCAGGCCTTCCAGTCATCCTGGCAGGTGTGTAACCCCAAACCACTCTCTAAATGAGACTGTGGTTCCTGGGTGGATGTTCTGGGAGCTGAAAAGTCTCCTAATTGCTCTGCAGGGCCAAGCTGCTTGCTGAATGAGGCTACAACAGGTTCAAGGGAGGCTTTTCATTACCCTCACTCTGTTCACAGCTGGGAGTTCCTGATGGGCTTATCCTTGGCTGGCCTTTGGTACAGAGATGTGTCATATTTTTCTTTCTTCTCACTTTCCTTCCCTGCTTTGAGACCTCATGTTGGACAAGAGATACATGCTGGACATGTGATTCATCCACCCCCTTTGTCCCTCTTGGCTTTTTGGAGGCAGGTTTACCCAGGGAAAATGTGTTGGCTGTGCCTGGAACGTGCAGAGCATCTCTGCTTGGAGAGAAGACAGCACTATTTCATAGCTTTGGCTGTAGCTGCATCTGAATTGTAACTAAATCCTCTTCCCAGCACAAGCAGCTGCTCCAGTGAAGTCACAGACTTGGAGCCAGCCCAGCAGACGTAGTGCAGCTACCAAGGGTGTGGGTGGGAGCGAGACAGTAGCTGTGTGAGCTCCTTCATTTCCTGAGAGCCAGGCCACTGGCACTGGGGGGACAGAGGAAAAGAGTCTGACCTGGGCAGTTCTTGTGCTGCCTTCCCCATGGCAGAGTGGGAGTTTTTTCCAGGAGGAAACAGAGTCGTGTGTTCAGCATCTCTTACTTGTGTCATGCTCTCTTCCCAAGGGAATGAGTGTGTGCAGTGCAGGGATTTGCCCTGGCATTTGTACAGTCATGTGCATAAATACACATCTATCCATGCAGTGGTTGAGATGGGCTGGCAGAGGTGAAAATGATGTGCTGATGGATCCTGCAGCTGTGCAGTTGAACAGAACCTATCCATCATTTTCAGTATGTACACACACGATGTATAAATTGTGTGAGCTCTGTGGTGCTCCTGGAGAGGTCATGTTTCCCAGCCTGAGGCCAGTCCCACACAGGTGATGGTGGTCACCCTTGCTTTTGAGAGCTCTGGTCATGCCAGAGGAGCAAAACTGTCAACCAGCATCTTTACTGCAGAGTTTCTGTTGATCTCCCTGGAAAATCTGAGCTCAGATCTGAGAGGTTTCAGATGAGGATGACGTTGTGGAGTTGCATTGGCTGTCCTTTGGAAGTCAGTCTGTGCAGGGTAAAGAGGCCAAGGCTAGTGGTTTTTTCCCTGCTGGAGAAATGTTCCACAGCACTGTAGCAGCTGGAGTCTGTCTTTGCAAACAGAATATAGAGCAATGAGGTGGCAGCAGACAGCGTGGGAAGGAGGAAAGCCTGCCCTAACTGATGAAAGTGTCTTGCCCCATTGCAGGAGCTTTCCCTGCCTCCTATTTTTCCCCTGGCAAGATTATTTTTTTCTCTGTTTCACAGCAACCAGGCTCTTCCCCCTGCCCCACTCCATGCTCTGCTCGCTCCGTCTGTGTGCTTGTCTTTTGATGTCAGTCACGCTATTTGATTTGTGATGAGGAAACAGAACGTCTTTTCCTCTGCTGCATTTGCTTCCCCCTGTCCTCTGAAGCCCCCAGTGCAGGAGGATGGGATTTAGCCATGGAACAACAAGCATCCCAGCAATCTCTCAGGGCTCTGCAGAGGCAGCTGGCGTTTGGGAGAGCAGGGGCAGTGGGGAGCAGTGTCTTCAGGGATCACAGCAAGCAGCTCTTTTGCTCATTTGCTGCCCTGGTTGGTGACGCAGGGACAGCCCTGCTCTGTCAGATGAGTGCACTGTGCTTTTCCTCCATTTGTTACCCAGCCTCTTGCTTTGGCACTGTACCCAGGTTTCAGACCCAGAGGCACGTTCAGGTGCTCACTGTGCTGTTTATTGTACCTGAAACACCAGCCAGTGACTGCAGTGCTTTCCATGGGACTGCTGCCAGAGTGCAGGAGCTGCCTTTCAAAGACCCGGAGGTGGTTTTGTCCCCCAGCACAAGCTGATTTTTGGAGGCACCGTGTGGTTTTACATGGTCCATTTGAGAATAGAGCTGTCTGGGACTTTTTTGATTAAGTGGAGCTGTATTGATTTCATTTTTACAGGAGCTCAGAGTTCGTTACAACTGAAACTCTTTCTGTAGGAACATGGCTTAGGCAAAACCTACCTCAGGTAATATTTTTGCAGTTTTAGAACTTGAGGTCAGAGGGAAATCTGAACTGAAGGGCTGCCCCATGACTTAGCCTGGATCTCACAGCACTTCGGTGACAGCCCCAGCAGCAAAGCTGCTTTCCAGCCTTCTCATCTTTTCAGTTGGTTCCTGCTGGTGTTTGGTTTTGCAGGGAAAGTGGAGATCCAGTCTCTGGATCTTAGTGGTACCAGCCTGAGGCACTGTGCTGGCTGAGCAGCTCTGCTCTTGCTGGTTTATTCATGTGTCTGACTTTGCTGTCTGCACTCCCTGTTGCCACATGAGGGATTTGAAACCTTTCCTTGACAGGCCTCAGTGTCAAGTAGTAAAAGCATATTCTGGGAGACTGTACAGTGTCTGAGGGAAAGTGTGGGCTCAGACAAGGACTCTCCAGAATCTCTGTGTCATTCCATATTCTTCCATTCCACAGAAGATTTTTTCCAAGGGAAGTCCTTTCTCTGAACCTTGGCCTGGCGTTTCTGTTGAGAATGCAGCTCACCTTTGTGCTCCCTCAGTCAGCCCTCAGCGTGGAAGGAGACAGGGGCACAAGAAGACAGCTGGTCAGACTTCTCAGGAGGCATCATTCCAGGTAACACCCAAATTTCCTGAAGTGGATCAGTAACTCAGCAGGTCCCAGGGCACTGGGAGCTGCAGTGACATGGATGAAGTGCCCAGCCTTAGGGCTGGCTTAGTCCTGTGCCAAGGGGAGACTGGGAACAAGAGGAGCATCTGTGTGACCTGAGGTCTGCTGTCACAGCACTCCCAAAACACTGCTGCACCTGCTGATCTGAGCCTGATGGCCTTTGGAGCTGGAAGGATTCTGGGTGGAGAAACAGGGACAGTGTTTTTGGCGTGGTCCACATCAGGTGCTTCTTCCCAGACCAGGGGAAAGCTGGTGTGTGCACCAGGCATTCAGCTTCTCAGGCTCCAGGGGTACAGTTTACTAAGGCAGCTGTCTGAGTCCAGCAACCCTCAGCTGCAGGGGCCTCATCAAGTTCAGGGCTGTGAGAAACCCTTCAGACCTAAGATCAGAGTTGACTCTCTGTGCCTCTGCTACTGAACCCAGCAGGAAGCCTGATGGGGGATGCTTCTGGAAGTATTTTTGCCTGAGGGAATCAGGCAACAGCTCAGTTAGGCATGGATTGATTTTTTTGCAAAATTTTCCTTCTCTTCCCTCGTTTCCAGCCAGTTTAAGGTCCACATCTATCTTGTTGATAGAATCATTTTAACAGCTAGTGGGCCATGGGAAAAGCTAATCCCCTCTGGGTTCTTGTCCATTAGCCATGTTTGTAGGTACTGCTACTACACAATTAATTATTACTGCTACTACTTTCTCCTTCACTTTTATTAAATGGTATTTTCTGTTTGCAGTCTGCTGAATGGTTTGTTTGCCTTAGTTTTTGCTCATGTAATAACTCCTGCTTTCCTGCAGTCTCACTGCCTGGGGTAATGATTTTTTGGCTGCTCAAAAGGTGTCCATTTAATTAAAGGATATCTCTGGATAAATTTCCTCTCTGTGCAGTGCAGTGGTCTGTTCCCTGCTGCAGACCAGTTTTCCCACTCTCTGTCCATTTTTGTCAAGGAAGAGGTGGACCTAAGCTCAGCATTAATGTATCTGGCTTTTCATCCTCTATAAATTCAGGCCTATCTCCATGTGCACTGGAATAGGAGTTTTGTGGGAAAACTAAGTGCTGACTTGGAAAGAAGCAGCCTGCAAGCAGTGGAATTAATAAAGCTTTATGTCCTATAGGCATTGACTCTCCCTGTCAAATTCCCTGGGCAGTGTGAAATCCCTGTGTGGACCCACAATGTTTAGAAGAAATTTGAGTTATTTTTTTAGTGTGCCCGTTTTACCTTATGGGTGTTCCAGGATGGGCAGGGTAAAAAGCAACCCATGCATGTGAACAAGCCTTGGAGCAGGTTTCAGTCACCACAAGCTTGCACTGGGTTAAAATGTAATGCTGAGAACTGGAAGACTTTGGCATCTCTGAAGCTCGTGTGTGCTGTAGTGTGGTGTCCCTGAGTATTTCTGTGCCATTACACAGAACCATCTAACGAGATTCCTCCCTATTCTAAAATCCTATGATGTGCCCCATTATTTTGTCCCTAACACCTTCCTGCTCTGGCAACAGAAGGAACTACTCCCAGTACCGTGCTGGTTGCATTAGTAGGATTGTGGATCAGCTGGTTAGAGGGGAAAGAACATTGCCCAGCTCCCCACACTCCCTGTGCAGACACTGTCTGAGCCACCTCCTCCCACTGCCGCCTTCCCACAGAGCAGCGATACTACAGCTCCCTGCAAGAGCCTGCAGCATTCCTGATCCAGCCGCTCCGTCCCTGCCTGCCTCTCCCCGTCCCTCACTGAAGCCTGAACACAAGCCTGGTTTTTAGTGACTGCTGTTCCCAGAACTCAGCAGGCTGAAGGGGGTGGAAGGGAGATAAACATCAGAGTTCAACATCCAGATAAACACAGCAGAGCACACACAGTAAATACATCCACCCCCAAATGCAAATACACCAGCAGAGATTCCTTGCCCGGGGCTCAGAGCGGAGCAGGCTCGGACAGGAGAGCAGCACCATGAGGTGAGTGCGGTGGCAGGGCCCTCCCCAGCTCCTCTGGCCACTTGGCTTTGTGCAGGCTCTGGAAGGCAGGAACATGTGTCTCATCTTGTTTAGCTGCTACTGGAGTATGGCTGCACTGATTCCAACCAATTTCTTCCACTGTCAAATGAGAAGGGTGGTGGACATGAAGATTTCAGCTGGTGCTGAAATACCTGATTTGATATCGAGCCTGGCAACTTAGATGTGTGGGTTTGGGCTATGATCTGAGTCAATGCTCACTCTTCCTCTGTTAATCTCTGCTCCTTGACTCAGGCTGTTTGTCTTGCTGGCTGTGCTCTACAGTGGAGCGAAGAGCAGTGTTGTGCCACAGAAAATGTATGGGAGGATCACGTCCCCAAACTTTCCAAATGTCTACCCAAACCACAAGGAGAGAATCTGGAATATTACTGTCCCCAAGGGATATTCTGTCCGTATCTACTTCACCCATTTCAACCTGGAGCTGTCCTACCTGTGTGAATATGATTATGTGAAGGTATGTGTAGGATGGGGTGACATGTAGCAGGCTAAGCTGTTAAAAACTGTGTTTATGTGATCCTGGGCACCTGTAGGACCAGTATAACTCTTGTAAGCACTTGATTCTAGTCTGCTTTTAAAGTTCAGGCTCAGCTGATTTCTAAATGACGTATTTATTGAGGCCCACAGGACAAGAAAGCAGAACTGGGAGACCACAAAATGTAAGTGATGGTCTAAACAAGTTGCTGTCAGCTTGTCTGAACGGGCACTGGCTGTGGTGTCTGCTGGCTAACGTGACAAACAACCTCAGGAAGAATTTGTTTGTGTGGGCCTGATGCACATCCAAGAGGGAGCTGTGTACACAGGGAGTGTGCAAGCCCAGTTTCCATCTGACAGAACCAAACCAGGCTCTTCCCACTTAGAAAGATCTCATTTCCATGGTGTTATATGGCACGTTGCTCCCATTCCCCCGATCGATGTTGTTCTTCATGTACTTTCCTTTGGGCAGGATGGAGTACTCCTTTCTGGTAGGTCTGTAGTACATAGCTCTCTCTCTGCCATGCCCAACATAAACCCCATGTGTCAGAACATTTCTCTTGTATTAAAGATAAATTAAGAACTGAAACTGTAATAGGTGAATCATAGGGCAAGTGAGTCACTCATTTAAAGACACCTTTTACTATACATTTGAATTTGTCAGCATGTGAAACTTTTTCTTTTCACCCCAGTTGCCTCGGGCTTTACCAAGATCTGATTGTCACTGAGAGCACCAAGTTAACAAGAAAGGAAAAAAGGGAGACAAAATTATGGGCTTAAATCACAGAGAATGGGGGAAATCTTCTCTTATCTGTCCTTGGATGTAGACTGATCTCCAGAAGCACATTTTGAGAGCATCCAGACCTCCTTCCTCACGCCATTAAACACAAGCTTTCCAAGCCATGGCGGCAGGTTGGGAAGATCAGTGCTCTGTGCTCATCTGGTGGATTTGTCTGTCTGTCTTCCAGCTGAGCTCTGGTGGGAAGACCTTGGCTACACTGTGTGGAAAGGACAGCACAGACACTGAGGAGGCTCCAGGCAACAAGACATACATCTCCATGGACAACCACCTCGTGGTGGTGTTCCGGTCCGACTACTCCAACGAGAAACCATTCACGGGCTTTGAGGCCTTCTATGCTGCTGAAGGTAAGAGATCTTAGATGGAAATAAGATCTTAGATAAGAGATGTAGATGGAGGAGCCACAGCTGTGGGGGGGTTGGTGCTTCGCTGTGTTCTGTGCTGCTCTGTGCTGTGGGTGTGGGGTGGGAGATGTCTCGTTGTACAGAGGCAGGTGCAGAAGGGCACAGCAACCAAAGGCAAACAGCCCAACCTCTCAAAACACAGAGCGGCTCAGAATGAGAGAACACATTGTTGAAGGATGTTGTTTGCCTGATTCTGTGCTTTGCCCATTAGATATTGATGAGTGCAAGCAGCTGTTGGATGGTGAACCCCTCTGCAATCATCACTGTCACAACTACGTGGGGGGCTACTATTGCAGCTGCAGGGTTGGCTACACACTGCATGAAAACAAGAGGACGTGCACAGGTGAGCTCTTGATAGATCAGGAGATACTTCCCTACCTACAGCATCCACTTAAATCCAGTCCTGGCTCTAACAACAAGATGAAATCTGTGGGGTTCTGCTGTTGTATTCACTGTTCCCTATTCACCTGGTGCAGCTGGAAGGCAGTTCAGGGGGTTGGTCAGGGCTGGGAGCAGAGGCCCTCCTTTGCAGAGTGGCTGTGGGCTAATGGTTGCCATCAGGGACAGCAATTTTGTGTGTCAGTAAAATGGTGCTATGGCACTTGGTTGTGGTTACTCCTTTCCACTTCTGTTCACCTTTAGGTGGGTTGAATGGGAGAGGCAAGAAACTTGCCTTACACTTCCCACCACAGACACTTCCCATGTTCGTGGCTGCCAGTCTTGCAAAACTGAGTACATCTTGTTCCCTGGGTACTGAGATACTGAGTAGTCTGGACCCAAATTAGTAGATGTGTTGGAAAAACTGACAAATGAGTTGTGAAGTCTAATGGAGAAATAGTTTTCTTCCCTGGAAGGCCACAGGCCAAGAAGCAGCACAATCCACATATCACTGACACCAGCTACCACGATCCACTCATTAATGGGAGGCTGACCAGGCACGGATCTCTTGTTCAGAGGGCTCACAGTGTGAGATCTCTCACTGCTGCCCAGCTCTGCTGCTCAGGTCAAACCAGGGGAAAAGACCAGCACCTCAGGATTCCCTGTGCAGTGAAACAGGGGTGTACACGGGGTGAGAGGTTCATCCTTTGGGGGTGCAGCTTTGCCACCTGGAGGTGAACTCCAGACATAGTTCAGCTCCAGGTGGCAAAGCTGCATAATGCTCATAAATACTGTCAGAGGTGGAAGATGGTTTCCTTGAGCTCCCCTGTGCTGAAATACAGAATTGGATCCAGCTTCCAGTGCTTAAGGTTGCCTTGGCATTTGTCTTCCCAACTCCAGCCCATTACATACTCTTTCCAGCCGTGGCTGCCTGGGTCTGATTCAAGATTTGAGCTCCTCATGTCTCCAGTGTATTGGAACAGACTGTCCTGAAGTGATGGCTTTTAGCACAAGTATATGGATTTACTGGCACTGTAAATCCATATACTTGTGTCTACCCTTAATGTGAAGGTGCAAACTGGAAAGCTGTGAACTGTCAGCTCTACACTGACCATTTGTGTGTGCCCAGTTCTGTCCCCCTCCTTGAACAGAGCCTGAGCACAGGGAGCTTCTCAGCAGTAGCAGAGGGCTGGGCTACCTGGATGGAGGAGCTGGGAATTGAGAATTGGGAATTTCTGTGGTGCAGCTGATGTGCTGGAACCTGTTCACATTTAGAGCCCTTAGATTCAGGGCTGCAGCTGCTCCAGCCACTGGGCTGCAAGGACAAGGTCTCTGCAGACCTCCTTCATGAGATGAGGGCAAAAGCTGCCCCTGTGAGTGTTGGGCTCCTGCCTGGGCAGGCTGCTGTTGACAGGCTCTTTTTCTCCTTTATTTTCCAGCGTCAGATAATTAAACTTCTCCTCGCTTAGGCAGAGATGGAGACAGATGTTCTGGGAAGAGCTGGTTTCCCTCCCTCCTGACCTGCCTGTTGCAGTCTGCCCAAGGGCTGCAGGCTTCTCTTGTTCCATGACTTGTCTGCTGTGGTTCCTTGTCTTTCAGACCTGCCTCCTGCAGACAATAAAGAGGCTGTTCCTCGTTGAAAGCTGATGGCAGCCTCTGGGGCATTCATTTTCTCACATTTCCATGTGTCACTTGGGAAAAAAGAAGGTAGATAAGCCAAGAGCTGATAAGAGGGGAGCCAATTGTGAAAGGCCCCTGAGCATCACAGCTAAACATGAAGACTCTTGAATTTCTTGTCCAGCTCTTGTTGCTTGACCTTCCATAGTTCTTAAACTGCAACAAACCCATGACCACACCTTTGTTCCCTAATGGTCCTTTTAGATACACTCCTGTCTGCACACAGATTTGTAGATTGAAACTTGCTATTCAAAGCCCATTCACTCTTTGGAAAAGTCTGAATTTTTCTTTATTCCCATTTTGTGACTCTGGCCATTTCTCCATTGGGAGCCTGGCCTCATGGCTGAAGTGTGTTCTGGTAAGAAAAACTTTGGAGTTCCAGGAGTTTGGTAAAATCATATGAATGTCACAGGGCAGCTGAGGTGCCTTTTCTACACAGGTGCTCTCCCCATGTAGATGCAACACCAGAAATGCTGTTCTTCAGCTCAATTGCTTGTGGTGTCTCAGTCCCTCAAAGTGCCTCTCCCTGCTCCACAGTGATCCCCATTTGATGTCCATTTAGGCTGTACCCCCTTTGGGCAGGGACCATCTTCAAACATGCTGGAGAAATGCTGTGTTCTGTACTTGTCAGGGACTAGAGCCCCCCAGCTCTGTGGATGATTATTGCAAGAGTTTAACAAGTCAGAGCTCAGCAGCTCTAGGGGAACTGCTGAAGGTAAGACAAGGCTTTGTTTAAAAGCTTGAGGGATTAAGGAGCATTAGCCAATCAGTATTGCCTTGTTTCTGCTATTTAGCAGGAGTTGCTTTTGATTGTTATTTATGAGGCTTGGTTACTCCAGCTGTGGAATAAACAGGGAAGGAACCCTTTTCCAGGTGAGCATGGGAGGAAAGATGAAGTCTTTTAGGTGGGACACGACTCATTTCAGGCCACTGCATCTTCAGGCTTTGATGTTCCCTTGAGCAAATCACTTGGTACCAGCTTTGAATATCCATGAGCAAAATGAGAGGAAACATCCCTGCCCTGACTTACTGGGAACATGCTTAGTAAGTGTCTAGGAGGTGGGTGCTGCAGAGAACAGATCTGGGGGCAGAGTGGCTGTGCAAGCACTACCAAGGCTTACTTGTGCCATGTTTAATCCTGTTCAGAGGCTGTTTCATGGTCACAGTGAATTGTGATCAAAGCAGCCTGAAATTTTGTCATGGATCAGTGACACGATTTATGACTCACCTTCGTTGGGGCCCTAATGAGAGAATGACAATGGACCTGCAAGTTTTGAGGGGGCCATTTTTCAGGGTTCAAGCCTCTGGCAAACAGCTCACTGTGATCCTAATAAAAATATGGCCTAAGCATAATTGAGCACTCTCAGGACAGCCCTAAAGCTCGGACTGAGCAGTCAAGGGAGAGCATTTCTGCTGGCAGATGTTAAAAAAATCATTTGATCCTTTTTGTGCTGGGTGTTTATGACTTTCTTGCTCACAGAATTATGGAAAAAAATACTGCCCTGACAAAGGGAACTCCCAGTGGCCACATCCAGAAGGTATTAGGAAAAAAGTAAGGTCCAGTCTGAGCCTTTTCATCTTCAAGCTGCAGATTCCCTTGGATTAGCAGAGTGTCTTCTGTTGGGTCAGCCAGTTCTGGCTGTTCATGTGAGCACAGGTCAAGAGAGTTTATTGGTGATGATTCACATTTTTCCCAAACTGTATCATGAAAATCTCACATCAGCATTAGGGATTGAATTGAAAGGAGACAGATGTAATGAAGTATGAAAAAATATTTGTCTCTGTCTTTCTCCTTTTTCAGTCCTTCAAAACAAGGCCAGTTTTCTGAATTGCTGGGCTCCTGGCAGGGCACTGGTTTTGTCTGAGCTGTAGCAGTGTGTGGGGAGCCCAGCTCTGTGCACAGGCGTGGTGCTGCTCTTTGCTACGTGAACACAGAGCAGCCTCTGCCCTGAAGAGCCTCTGAACCAGCACCTGGGCAGTCAGAGCAGTTCTGGAATGTGCCTTGCCAGAATGGACCCAGGCTGAGGATCCCTGGAGTCCCACCCATGAGCCTGGCCAGCCCCTCACGCTTCAGTGGACGATACAGTTCTGTGAGTGTTGTTTAAAGTATCCTTCATGCAGGAGCATGATCCTGGCTTTGTATCAGGTTTGTGGTTTTCACCCTTTAAATTCATCATGTGTTCCTTTGCCCTCTTATTATTGAGAAAGAAAACAGCTTTCAGGAGCTACAGTGGGTGGTTTTACACACTGTTGTTTTGTGTCTGTGGCATATCTGTGTTATCACACAGTGGGCTTTTCTTCATCCTTTCTCTCTATTACGTGTATTTATGCTGAGCTTTAGTCTAATAACATTCCTTTAAACATACTTTCAGCAAGGATAACATGGATCACCTTGGTAAACAGAAGCCAAGGTGTTGCTGCCTTCTGATTCTGAGGTTCTTGTAAGAAAGAATTTAACCTTACCAACCTGAGTAATCCCTTCTTTGCATGGGAGGTCCCATGCCCAGGGACAAATGGTTTTGTAGGTTATATGATAAGGATTCCATTGCAGAAGTGGCAAAGAATTTGAGATCCTAACTTCCTAATGATTTCAGTAGGGAGCTGGGGGCATAAAGGTAGTCCTCATTATATTGTGATTTGTATGCTTAGGGTAGGAACTCCCACTGTCTTTTCTCACACCTAAGGATTTCATGTTTTCATCCCTATCTTTTCCTATAATTGCCTCCAGACTACTCCTGGAGGGGCTGTGGAGTTGGCACAGACACTGGCAGCATGAGGAAATTTCAGTTTTAAGAGAAGCAGGGGTTTTTTTGCACTTCCATGGGGGTGAGCATAGATATGCTAGATCTGCATATCAAACAGATTTCGGGGTGTTTCTCAGCCTGGGCTTACAGGAGGTGGAAGGAGGCATAAGAGTGGGATCTTAAAGCCTGGGAGAGGCAGTGAATTCTGTGTCTGGAATATTTTAAGCAGCTCAGGAGAGTGTGCTGGAAAACGTGCTTTATTCTTACATAGTCAAATGCTTCTGTAGTTTGAGACAGTCAGTGACATTACAGAAATGTGCATTTAGCTGGGAAGAATGAGGCAGTAATAATTAAGGAAAAAAAAAACACTAATAATCCTCTACAAGTGTAGCATGAAAGGAAAAGATTGAATTCCCTTGGTGGCTCAGCTGATCTGTGCTGGTGCAAAGCAGGGTGCTGTAGGGCTGGATTCAGAGGCAGCCAGCACCTCCAGGTGAATTAGTCAAGCTGTCTCCACTTCTTTGGACCAAACAGGATTTATAAATTAGGAGAGCACACAGTTTTAACAGAATAGGCATTTCTAGGTGTTCATTAACTGTTTGTGTATCTGCCAGCTGTGTTTGAAAACCTGTGAGAATGATCTGGAACACTGAGAGGTGCTCAGGCACTGGGGCGATGAAAAGGTTCATGTCAAACAAAAGCAGCTGCTCGTAACTCTCTGGGAAGATGGACAGAGGGAGGGAGATTGTTCTGAAATTACAGCTTGTGCTAAAAGGAACACTTGGTGCCCAAGTGCATCATGACTTGTGTTGGGGTATTTTAGTTGAGCTGAGGGCCACACAAACATGCACCAAAAAGATTATCCTTTTACCTATTCTTGCTGTCCTTTCCCAGTAAAGGCTTGTAATCCAAATATTTACCATGGCAACAAGTGGGGCTGACACAGAGGTATAGGGTGGAAACGAGCTTCATTCTCTGAAGTAAAAGAAGCTTAGAACCTTGGCTAATGAAATCCATAGTTAGTTAAGGGACAGTAGTTTTCTCACTCACAACTTGGTCACCTTCCATTAAAATGACAACCTTAAACTGTATGATCTGGTTTTGGGCGATAATCTCTAATTAATGCCTGGATAATGGCATTTTTGTTGGTGGAGGTTAGCATGGTGTGTTTGAGGATAGAATTCAAAGTCAAACAATTTCCCTCTTACAATTAATTCAGTGTCAGAGTGGTGCAAAAATCTGCCGGTGTTATCAGCCAGTCCAGCATTCCTCATCAATTACAGGATTGCTCATCCAGCTTTTGCAGCACATCATAAAGCCTTTGTTCCCAGCTGATCAAAGCACCACTTCACAGTGATCAGATGCTGTCAACAAGCAGAGATCCTCGGGGCACTTGTGGCTGTTCCTTCTTGCTTCTCTTCAGCAGGGAGCATTTGTGGCTCCAATTGTGCCGGCAAGAGGCACAGCTGGTTTCGCTCAGAGAATACAATTACATTCTAAACGTCTGGCAACAAAGGCATTAAAAAGAAAGGGCTGCATTCAGAGGCTTCTGGAACTGAGGAGCTGATGGCTATCTTACCACTCCACACACTCTGGAGCAGCAGACAAGCTGCAAATTTAACACCTTGGAATGTTTCTGAGGAGCTTCCAGTTATCACCCCTGTATCTGACCTGCAGCCCTGCAGGCTGTTCAAGTGGTGCTTTCCCGGTGTCCTTCCCTGCCCCTCTCCCGAGGCAGGAGTGCTGGATAGTGCTGGTGCCCTGGTCCCACCACAACAGATTTGTGGCTCCAGAACTTTCATGAAGGCCTAGACTAGTGTAGAAAATTATCCTCCTCCTTTACCCGGCATGGCTGAACTGAGTTAATACAACTACCATCATTTCCTGTTGTTTGTTTTTTCCCAGCCCACTGTCAGAGTCCCGTTTTTACTGAGAGAATTGGAGAAATCCCTGGCCCTGACTATCCAACACCTGCTCTCAGCTCCTGCAGCTGCAGGATCCAGATAGAAGAGGCTTCCTGATCGTGCTGCAATTCGTGGAGACCTTTAATGTAGAGACACACCCAGGACTGCCGTGCCCCTGTGATGTCCTTAAGGTGAGGTGAGGTTTAATGCATTTCATCACAGCTTTTATGAGCCAGGCCCAGCTTTTTTACTGCATTTTCTTCAGCCCATGTTTCACCATGTGTTCATTTCTTCTTCTTGCTTCAGTTTTGTCACTTTGGGGTTTTCTTCCTCTCAACACCTCTTTTGGAAAATTCACTAAAGCCATCAAATTAGATTTTATTCCAACCTCTGCCCTGTTCCCAGAACTTCATACTGGAAAGGCCTGAATAGTGACCAAACACTGGTGCTTTAAAACAGTGGTTTCATGGGTTGTTTTCAGTAGTGTGCCTGGACCAAGTGGCTGCCAGGGAACTTAATTCTGAAGTAAAGTTCTGAAACAAGCCCAGAATTGCAGCTGATTTTACAGTTCAACTTGGATCCAGGCATATGACTATTTTAGAGACCAATTTTCCCAGCTTGTCAAGAGTTACATGGTATGTGTTGAGACAACAGCCACCCTGGGCTGGTCCTGTCGGTGCAGGTCACTGCTCCCCTTTGGTGGGAGTCAGCCGCAGTTTTAACTTTAATTCCCAGTAATTGTAAATCTGTATCCACGAGTGTGAAAGTGCAGAGGAAGGGCAGAGAAAGGGTGTGCTCTCCCCGAGGAGCCTTTAGCAGTAACAAATGGGCTCTAAGGGGAGCGCTGTGCTCCGTGCCCCGCTGCAGGTCCGTGTCCCGCAGTCCTGAAGCACCACCCCATGGTCACAGCGCACCAGTGCAAGCCCGGCCTGTCCTGGTGACGACTGTGCTCTCTGGTGACATGGGATATCACTACTCGACACGGGTGAACCTTGTCAGCCCTCCTGGACTCCATTTCCCGGGGATTAAACACGCAGGTGCCCTTTCTCATCAGTATGCTGTAATTAGAGGTGTGTTCAGCACACTGGGTTTGTCAGCAACTGACCTTTGATACCCTCCCTGAAGAATTGCTCCTGTGCACGTCTGTGTGTCCATCCAGCCTTGCTGCTGCTCAGAGATTTGCTTCTAACTACGTTGGAAGAAAAGGATGATTTTACAAAAGATTTCACCAGATCAGTGTAGCGAGATTTTTTGATGTTCTTCCGTTTGTTACTCATCTCTCCAGGGAAGTTAAAACAGGAATACATGGTCATTCCTGCTGCATTTCACACTTACTCCTTAGTAACTGAACTGAGCTTCCCAGCAGACAGTTTTGGAAGGTGTATGCTTATGGAACTTTAAAATCACAGGTAGGTGATGGTGGTTTGGGGAGGCAGAGTCTTAACTCAGCAGTTACTTTCTAGGCTGTCTGATTTGACAGTTGTGCTGTTTATGTAGAAACCCAGAATAACTGATGTGAGAGTTATGGATTCCACACAAACAGTGGGAGAGCTGGGGGTGTGTGAAAATGCAGTGACAAAATTCAGGGCCAGTGTGAAGCCCTGTTCTGCCCTGGAAAGGCCAACAGTAATGGTAGGGCCTAAACATGGAATTAAACGTGGTCCTTGGCTCTGGGGCGTGCAAAGGGAATGTCCCTGCCTTACCTGGACACACCTGGAACTTTGCCTGTGGGAAGGATTTGTATTTTTAAGGCTGTGTAAGCAATGCTGAAAGGTACCCAGGCAGGCTTCATTCAGTCACAGCTGGGAGCTTTCTTACCATTCCCAATCCATCAGTGGATTTAATAGATTAAATCCTGGGAATAGCCCAAGGGAGGGAAGTGACACAGTCACCTTCTCAGGACCCCACAGGGACTCAAAAGCCACCTAAAATATGTTGTCTGAGGATGCCTGTAGAGTGTCACTCCTGCTGTTAACCAGTGCCCAGCTGTTCCAGTCCCTGGTTCTCATCTGTGCTGTCTCTGGGATGCAGGTCAGGATCCACGTGGTGATGGACACTGGAGACACTGCAGCTCGTGCCTCAGCTCCAGCCTGCAGGGACCTGCCCATGCGGGGCTGGGCACAGTCACCCTCTCAGCTATTCCACTTGCACGGGAGCAGGTACAGCCCTGTGGCTTTCTTGGCTTTCTTTTAGTACCTCTAAGCTGGTGAGGCAGAACCACTTCCCTGCAGAATGTTCATTTTAACAATCAATTACCACCTTTGTTACGCTGATTTTCAGACTGGCAAGTGCTACAGGTGCTGTTTAACACTAAGAAAACTGAAAATGTTATGATAACTGCATGGTGTGACTGTAATAACTAACACTGACCTTAGATTTGTTAAACCATTTACTATTTTACATGCCTTAGTCTTTCCTGAGTCTCCCCAGCACAGCCAGCGTTGCAGATTAATGCCCAAAACTCAGTTCAGTTCTCCTTGAAGAGAGTAAAAAGCTGAACCTTCCTTTACTCCAGCTCTTTTGGAGAATGCAGTTTCATAATTAACTAAATTGTTGCTTTTAAATTGCTTGGCATTGTTTCTGACAGGAAGATTGAACCACACTCTAGCAGTACTTGTGAGGGGAAAAGCCACTGCATTCCCTCGCTGCACAGTACGGGGTTGGGAATTTTGTTTTTTAATGCCTGAACTGCTACATTAATTACACTGTAAAATTAGTCAAGATCCAAGACTGAGTTTTGGGAGAAACATTTTACAATGTAATAGCATAATTGTCGCTCTTATCTTTTAGATTAGAATATCCATATATTCCAATTACCTTAATTTACATTCAGAACAAATGCATTTCCTTCTCCATGCCCAAATTCCTCAGCAATGCTGTCTCTCTTGATTACAGAACTTTTCCAAGGGATGCACTACTAATGAAAATTGTATTCTAAATCAAATATTCATTTGCAAGCAATTTTACCATTCCAAAACAATCTAGGAATTACATTTAGAATCATTAACTTAATTTAATCCATATAAGCACAATAATTCAGTGTTCAGATCTCAAACTGTTAAACAGCTCTGGCTGCCTTTGTTGTCTTGCACTTTGTGGAGCAAGGGGAGCCTGGAGAGTTTCCCTGGCAAGTGGTGTAATTATAGGGAAAGGAGGATCAGGAGGATCAGCTGTGTGTGACAACAGCTCCAACAGCTGCTCACGGTGTAGCTGATCAAAGAAACCCCTCAGCTTTGAGCAGGACATTGGAGATTTTGAGCAAACACTATGAAGAAGGCCAGACAAAAAGAAGGTTATAAAAATGATCTTGTCCACTTTGATAATGGTATTGGTTAAAGTGGAGCAGGTAGTCCCAATTAGTACCACTCTTACACCTGCTTGTTTACCAGGAGAAGATGGATCTCAGGTGACAGCAGGTGAGGGGGAGGGCAGAACAGCTGCAACGGATTCTCAGAATTAATTAAAAGCAATGTCAGAAAAAAAGTGTTTATAAAATGTTTAAAAATGTTTAAATAAATAGTTAAAAAAAATTACATAGCCCCCCCTTACAATATAAACTTCCTCTTCCTTGTATCTCACATTCTTTAATATTTCACTTTCTAGAACAATATCACTGAAAATGAAGTATCTTTAAAAAAAATCAAGACTCGAAACACTTCAATGTATTTTCAATCATAGTTTATTTACTTATAAACACTAGAATATGCAAAGCAGTTAAAAAATGCTACTGAAACTTGAAAATTACTCTTAAATTTTCGGGTATTTTGTTTGAGGGTGAAGGAAGGCTAAAATGATTAGCAAAGACTACTCAATGCTGCCAACCAGCCACTTAAAACCTAAGCCTGAACAATTTAAACAGAATTAAAACCATGCTAATTACAAAAACTTACCAAGAAGTTCCTTGCAGGGGGTCACAGTTAGTCTTTGGAGGTCCAAGAATACCATTTTTAAGTGTTACTCAGCAGAAGTAGCTGGTAATAGTGCAAGTGCTAAAATGCAAAATTCACAGATGGGACAGAGTTTGGAGATTATTCCGACTTAGGTGCAGGAAAAAAAAATGTAAGCAACTTTTTGCAGTGGAATATGAACAAAGGTGTAGGATTACTTCTCAGCCTGAGTGTTTAGAAACCCTCTTTAAACCAAGTACATCGAGATACAGCTGATTTTTTCATACTGCAGGTGGAAAACTCAGCCGTGCACTTCTGTCTGCTGTTTAGGTGCTCTGCCCTTCACAAGCCTCAGTAGGATACACAGTAATGAAGATCTCACTTGAAAAGTTACATAGGTTAAAAACTGTGTAAATATCCCAACTCAGACTGTTCACAGCTCCAGCACAGGATTATGGTGCACAGAACAACAGGGATCAGTGGGTTTCAAGCCCAAGTAGGTGAAACAATTCCTCAAGCTCCTACCACCAGTGGAACTTCCCTTCCACCAGTTTCTGCTCAAACATCCTGCCCTTCCTTAAGAAGCTGCCCCTTATGTGACACCTGTCATAACCTTAAGTTTTTCAGACTCAGAATTTATCAGCCTGTTTATATTTACTGGTGCTTTATTCGCTGGAAGGTCTTTCCTGACTAGTTTCACCAGGAGTTAATAGTGTTCTTCTGGGCTGGAAGTGTGGCAGGAGCCTGTTTCCCATGAGTGGGCTGGTCTAAAAACAAGTCAAAAACATCCATCCCCAAAGGAGGTGCTGTGGACAGCAAGTGTCTGTCTCCCCCAACCCCCCTCCTGATGAGGAACTCCGACTCCTAACCGAACAAGTCCCGTTCCTTGGCACAGATGGAATCTGGAGGGAGCTGCTTACCAGTCTAGGTGCGGGCTCCCCAAGGTGTGGGACCTGGATTTTAGATCTATGGCACTGCACAGTGCAAGGGTACAGTGGCTTAGAGGTGTGGCGGTGGCTCCTTTAGAACCTGCTTATCTGAAACAAACCGAGTGACTGCAAAAAGCTTTACAGAAGTTCATCTCAAAAGGGTAAAATTAATTAACTGCTATGAATTCTTTGCATTCAGGGCTGCAAAACAAAGACACATATTACTTAAATCAGTTTTATTTAAGAATTTCCTACAGTGACAAATCTTATAAAAAGCATCCAAACACGAAACTGCAGCAAACAGCATTCTTATGGATATCTTACAGACAGTGGAACTTCCACCCTGGAGAGGCACACTGAGCTCTAGTGATCTCTGCTACAAGAGCTACTGCAAAGCACACCACAAGCTCAATGTTCTCATCACAAACCCCATCGTCTTCAAGTCACATTACCACACTTACAGATCATTAACAGAAAAAAAACACACACCATACAGCATTCACAGCAGTTGACATAAGGGAAAAGAAATACAAATATTCCATTTCACATAACACATTCAACTAATTGATTAACTAGGTAGAGAACCCACTTAAAGTCTTCCACATGTGGATGTCCTTTGAATGCAATAAACACTCGTACTTTATTTGCTATCATTGCTCTCCGCACACTCTCTCACCAAAGCCACAGGATTGAGAGACATCTCGCCAAGTCAAATAAAATCCCATTACTGCACCACCAGGTCTCTGCATGCGCTCGCTCCTTTATCTCGCACATACCAGCCCTCTCATGCCTCGGCACCACCACCAATCCCACACAAGGTTTCAAAAGTTCAAACAGCCTTCTGGTTCCATCTCACAGCCTTGCGTTCACAGCGTTGATACGACTCCATGAAATAAAGAGTAGCGGATAAAAATGGAACACCCACCGTCTAAGACGCAGCATGTGCGGTGTGATGAAGTATTCTTGGATGAGAAAGCATGTAGACAGAAGTATTCCTAAGGCAGAATATTTACAGCACTGCTTTCAATGAAGTGCTTCTTCCATACACATTTGAAATGAGATGAACTGCGGAGATTAAATGAAGCCTTCATATCGTACTTTAGTATGGAGGGGAGACAGTGTTAAACAAAAACACAAAACAAAAACGACACTGTGTTGTCCAACGGGGCACTTGGAGAGTCTTATGGTGGGATCAAATTAAAAACAAGAGGGAGAGAATGCTGTTTCTGACCAATGGTTCCATTTTGAACATGCAAAGAATTCAGGTAGCCGGGAAACAAGGGATAAAGTATTACAGGAGAAACCTTTCCTATCGACTGTAGTGTTAGTTCACCTGTCGGGCAAACAGCAGTCCACTTCCAAACATTCAGAATTCCAACTAGATATGTAACAAAACTTAGAAAATTCCTTTTACCTTTCTTTTCTTTTTCTTTTTTTTTTCTTTTTTTTTTTTAAAAAAAGAAAAATGTCAAAAATACTGCTGAATATACTGCACACTGAACAAATTGATTTGGAAAACTTTAGTATATATGTAATTTACAGTATACTTACCATGAGTTAGAAAAATTTGATTTCCCACCATAGAGTCAGTATCAGAGCCCACTGCGTCTACATCCCCCAGCCTGAGGACTTGGAGTCCATGCTGGAGCCGAAGCCTCCGTTAAACCCGCTGCTGGAGCCCGCGTTGGAGGCCGAGCCCCAGCCTATGGCTGCCCCCGAGTTGGACCCTCCGTACGAGTTGTTGCCTGAGCTAAAGCCCTGGTTCTGCTCCCGCTGCATGTTGCCTTGGGGCTGGTTGTTCCCCGAGGGCCCCGACTGGTTCTGCTGGCTGGCCAACATGCCCATCATGCCCCAGCTGCTCTGCAGGGCCGCCTGCGCCGCTGCCATCATGGCAGGGTTGATGCTAAAGGCCCCGAAGTTCATCCCCCCACCCATGTTGCTGCCCTGGTTGTTGCCCAGTCCTCCCCCGCCTCCTCTGCTGTTGCCAAACCCCCCCTGGTTCCCAAAGCCTCCCGGGTTACCACCAAATCTTCCACCTCTCTCTAACTGTCTATTGCTATTATGCTTAGGTTCAGCATTGGATATATGTACGCTGATTCCTTTAATGATCAAGTCCTCTCCACAAAGAGACTGGGCAACCTATAAGAAATAAGGGATTGATTAAATGTATGTTAGACGTCTTTTTTTTAGATGTTAGTAGTACAAGACAAAACATCCCCCATGACTCTGAGCAGATATTTAACCTGCAAAGGAAGCACAGGCATGTACTTAATCCGATCTGAAGTGTTTTATCTTTGCATTCACCACTACACTAGCTGCAGTATAAAAAGCTGTCTGGAAATGTAACCTCAGTCCATTCAGTAAATCAGATCAAGCTAACACCACTGGAATCCTCAAGACAGTGGACAAGTAAGTGTTTCACGTGTAGTTCCAGAAATGATACTTTATCAAGCTACTGAAATGCAGGCTAAATATGAAGTTAAAATATGACTTACCTGGTCATCTGCAAACGTAACAAAAGCAAAAGCCCGGAAGGGCTTAGGAATGAAGACATCTACCACTTCCCCATACTGGGCAAAGAACTGTCGGAGTTCATCTGCCGTCATGTCCTCGGTGCAGCGCCCCACAAACACCTTCCTGCTGCGCAAAGGCTCGTCGGGACTCTGCTGCAGAGATGGGAAGGACAAAAACATCACAACCACCCTGCAGAACTGAGTTACAGGATGATGAAGGCCCCCCTCAATCTGGCCTGTTCTGCGGGCTGAAGATCAAGAAAGTTTGAGATTGTAAAAGGAGTTTAAAAAATAAATGGAATTCTATTCCAAGAACGTGCCTGCAACCACAAGAAAACGAGGATGGGAGCAACACACAGGGACAGTGAAAAGGCCACTGCAGAAGGACACTCTTTTGGTAATAACTGCTTATAGAGACACTGGAAGCTACAGGTTCAGTTCTGCACTCAAAGACTCATTCTGCTCTTCCCTAGATTAGTTATTCCAGCTGCTTTATTCTGCATTTATTCATGCAGCAGACAAGTTAGGCAGGTACTGCTGGACATTAAACACACTATTTCCAGATTTTCATCATTGCCTCACATAACCAGCTATTTTTCCAACTCACCCACCTCCTCCCTCTTTTCTTTCAGCACCAATGAAAGCAGCAGTAAAACCCAAAGTACCTTAGAGTTGGGGAGTTTACAGTCACACCACCT